GGGGGGGGGGGGGGGGGGGAGGCGGATGGCGGCGTGAGGCGATGCCACCCCAGGGCAGGGGGGACGGCGACCCTGCCCACCAAGGGCGGCGCCGGGCACTTGGACTTCCACCGGCGGCGGCCCCCTGCTGTGGACACGCTGCCGCCCTTTGGCCCCTCTCGCCGCGCCAGGCGCGCGCACACCTCCCTCCCCGTCCCGCCCCCCACCCCCCGCCCCGCTCAGAGACAGCTCCCGGGCAGGGGCCCAGAACCAGGGGGGGCCCCGAAGACCGGGGTCGGGCTGCCGTCCGGGGCGAAACCCGGCACCGCGCGCCCGGCACAGTGCGGACACCGGCTGACATCCACCGCCCCGGCGTCCTGGCACAGGCGAACCAGCAGGAACTGCGCATTGGCCGCCAGGCTGTCCAGATCGAAGGGAGCCGGCGAGCCAGCCGCCGAGGAAGCCGCCCCGGCGCCCGACTCGGCCTCCAGCAAATTGGCCAGCAACTTCGGCGGCAGCAGCCCCTTGGGCGTGGTGGCCAGGTGGAAGCGCCGCCGGGCCGCCTCATCGGCCGGGGTCCGGCACGCGGCCACCAGGGCCCGCTTCAAGCGCCACGAGTCGACCGGACCCAAATCCCGCAGCGGCTGGTACTGAGGCAGCGGCGGGGCCGGCTGCACGACACCGGCCCCCGGCAGCCGGCGCCCAGTCGGCCCGACAAAGGCCCCGGCCGCATCCCGGGCCCCGGCCAGCTTGGCCTGCCGCTGGGCTGCCAGGCGCTCCAGCCGCCGACGCCGGGCATTCGACAAGGTCGCCACAAATGGCCCGACATCCCGATGCAGGCGCTCCACATCAATCAGCCGATCGAGCGGCACCGCACGCAGGTGCACCAGTTCCCGGTGCTCGGCCGCCCGGCCCTCGGCATCCACGGCCGAGCCCCCGCCGGCGGGAGCCCCGCCCACCGGGACCGGCTGGTTCAGCAGGATGGTCCCCATGGCACACAGGGGCCCGGCCCACCGAGGCAAATAGTCGGCTCCCGGGTCGTCCGGGCCGCCGCCGGCCCCGCACGGATCGGCCCCCGCCCCGGCCAATGCCCCGGCCAGGGGGAAGGCCAATGGCAACAGCGGCTCCAGCAGGGCCAGCCCGGAGGCCGGCTGCAAGTCCTGGATGGACAGCCGCGCCAGGGAGGCCCGCGCGGCCGCCGCCTCGGCCTGCAGCACGGCCGCCGCGCCTCCCCCCCCCGGCTCGGCCCCGAGGGCTTCGCTGGCGGCCACGGCACTGGCGATGCTGAATGCCTCGCACACGGCCCCGGCCACGGCGAAGGCATCCGCATCATTGCACGCTGGCAGCTGGTCCATCCAGTCCGCGCAGTCCGGGGCTCGGACATGCCCGCGCACGGGCTTCAGGCCGGGGGCCGGGCCGCCGCCGCCGCCGCCGCCGCCGCCGCCGCCGCCGCCGCCGCCGCCGCCATCACCATCACCGCCGCCGCCATCGTCAATCCCAAGCCCCAGCCCGGAGAAGATGTCCGTCGGGGCTCGGGCCGAGGAAACCACCAGCCCGCTGATGACCCCGACGCCCCGGCGGACGGCCCGCGCCAAGGGGACCAAGTCCGGCCGGCGGTCCTCCCGGTGGTCGATGTTGAAGTCCAGGATGATCTTCAGCCCGGTGAAGGTGCGCGCATGGGCCACCACCGTCTCCAGGTCGGCCGGATAGCTGGTGGCTTCGGGCGCGCCGGCCTGCAAGAACCACGTCACATACGGGTACACCTGGGGGTTGGACAAGATCGACCGGTACACCGGGGCCACTGGGTCATCAGCCAGCCGGGCCAGGCTGATGAATCGGTCATAGGAGAGCTGGCGCCGCGAGGGCAGACAGAAGCCAAGGAGCAGGGGCGAGGGGAGGGCGGGGGACGCCGAGAGGGAATGTCAGTCTCACATGGAGCAGGGGCAAGTGCCAGCCCGAGGGGGAGAGATCCGAGCCGGAGCAGGAGGAGTGTCTGGCCCCCCCCCCCCCCACAAACACACAGACACACAGGGTGGCGATCGACCGTCCAGCATGACACAGCGTACCTCAACAAGCATTATCCCGCTGATGAAGCCCACCAGCCCCAGGAGCAGAGCATTAACGGCTGCCATATCGGTGGCCAGGTTTACTTGGGCCTGTATGTACACGCACAGGCACACACGCACGCACAGGCACACACGGGCACACAGGGACACAGGCACACACGGGCACACAGATACCAGGATAGCACATGGCCACCCGGGACAAAGTCAGCATTCTTGCGCTTCACCATGACCGACAAAACCCGACGAACAGCACAAAGGGGCAGGATGCATCCCACGCCGGGCAGATCCGCTGGCCCGAAAACGCACCCGAACGACGAAGTGCGACCCAGGCGGATAGACACGATGCCAGGCGGCCAGCTGCTCGCGCAGCTTCTCCAGCGGGACAAGCGCTCCGTCCAGAAACACCGGCAAGTCCAGCACCACCGGCCGGACTACGTGGCCCGCGTGCTCGAGAAGCTTTTTCTGCATACATGCACGCGTCCGCGCATACATGCGCATGCGCCCAGGGAGGAGACACAGTCAGCAAAGGCGCGACAGGGCCCATCCGCGAGGGGGGCGGGGGGGGGGGCGAGAGCGCGAGGAGAATCCAAAATGACAGGCAAACGGGCGGGCAGGCGAGGGGAGAAAGCAAAAAGAAAAGCAAAAGCGAAAAAAAAAAAAGGGGGTGGCCTCCGGGCACACGGCAGGGCGCCGCACGCGGCCAAACCCCGAGCCCCGGCGCACCGCGTCAAAAGCCTGGCTCGTCTGACTGGAGTTCAGACGTGGGGCGGGGGGGGGGGCGAGAGCGCGAGGAGAATCCAAAATGACAGGCAAACGGGCGGGCAGGCGAGGGGAGAAAGCAAAAAGAAAAGCAAAAGCGAAAAAAAAAAAAGGGGGTGGCCTCCGGGCACACGGCAGGGCGCCGCACGCGGCCAAACCCCGAGCCCCGGCGCACCGCGTCAAAAGCCTGGCTCGTCAAACGCCCATCAATGGGCTGGCGCCACCAGTCGGCCAGGCGCTTGGCCTCGGCCGGCGGCAATGCCGGCCGACCGCCAGCCGGCGGCAGCGACTGGAAGGGCGCCAGCGCCGGGGTGGCCATCAGCCGGCGGAAGGTCCGCGGCCGCGAGGAAATTAACACATCCCGGCGCCCATGGCGCGGGCAGATGATCGCCAGCAGGACGCCAGTCTGGCCGCGCTCGGTGAACCGGCCATCCAGATCTTCGTCCGCCTCGTCGGCCGACCCGGCGCTCGTTTGCGAGGCGCTCCGAGGCCGGCCCGGGCCGGAGGAGGCCATGCCCCCGGTGCCGCGGCCTGCCCCGGCCGCCTCGGGGGCCGGCTTCCGTTCCACCACATACGCGCTCACCAGCGACTCCGGGCCGAAGCCCTGGCGATCCACCAGTGCACATGTCAGACACCGCGACCCGGTGTGATAGAGAACCGTCTCTTGGAACTGGACCGCCGGCTGGGCCGGCGCGTCACCGGCGCTCCCCGGCAGGGAGGTCATTGTGCGCAGGCTGGAGAGAGAGAGAGAGGGCCGAGGGAGCGAGGCGAGGGAAGCAAGGGGGTAAAGAGAGGGGGGGGGGAGGGCACGAGGCAGGAGTGTGTCGAGATCGGCCGGAGGAAAGGAGGACAGCGGGGCGGCGCAGCCAACCAACGAGGAAGCCAGATCGGAAGAGCACACGTGGAAGCAAGGGGGTAAAGAGAGGGGGGGGGGAGGGCACGAGGCAGGAGTGTGTCGAGATCGGCCGGAGGAAAGGAGGACAGCGGGGCGGCGCAGCCAACCAACGAGGAAGCCGGCAGGCAGGGGAGAGGGATAGAGGGTAGCCAGGGGGCTGAGGAGGAGAGTGTGCGTGTGTGTGTGTGTATGTCAGGCGCGGGGCGAACACCCGACAGCCGGCGGCAGCGCGGCAAAAATCCGCCCACACAGGCAAATGGCGTCTAGTTGGGCAGGCGGGCCGGATCGTGGGCGGGCTTTCTCACCGCGAAAAGCGCGACATCCCCCCGGCGTGGGACGCGATGGTCCACGGAAGGGCGGGCGGGCGGGCGGGCGGGCGGGCAAGACACACCCCCCAAGGCCAATGCCCGGAGACGGCCCCGGAGCCAAGGCAAAGACACGGCCGGCGCGCAGGAGGGGCACAGCGCCGACAATAGCCCGCAAAGAAGCGAGGCATGCGGAAAACAACAACCCCCGAGAACGCCCCCCGGCGCCCGGGGGCCGCGGACGCAGGGCCGACGCATTGCCGCCCGGGCGGTGTCAGCCCGCTAACAGCCCCCCCCCCCCCGCCCCCCCGAGCAAGAGACAGCACGAGAGCCAGCAGCCGGGGGGAGGGCGGGGGGGCTGCTGGCTGGCAGGCAGGCAGGCAGGCAGGCAGGAAAGCGGGCCGGGGCGGGCACCCCGGCAACGCCCTCCCCCGGGCATGGTGAGCGGAACAAGGCCGGGGGAATGCGCCAGTTGGAGGGTCGCGTGATCCGCCGAGTGGGCACGTGCGGCACATCGTGGCGGTGCTCCCTCGCGCCGCGGGGGGCCGTCCTCGCTGCCGGGCCGCGGGAGAGAGAGAGAGATCACCCCCTGGGCCGGGGGGGAGGGCCGGCACGCGCCCGGGGAAAGGGGGAGGGGGCGGGGGCGCGCGGAAGAACGCCACACCACGCGGACGGGACCGCTTCGCGGAGAGTGTATGCCCCGGCGCCCCCCCCCTCCCCCCCCGCGCACTGGGCGCGGAGGGAGGGGGCGGAGCAGCGCGAGCACGAGCCGACCACAATCCGGCAGCGGCGCGCCATTTTTCGGGACCCAGCGGCGGGCCGGTGGCATTCGTCACCACAACAGCGCCGCCCTCCCCCCCCCCCTCCCTCCCCTTCCGCCGCTCGCCCTCCCTCTCCTCCCGCCCTCTCTCCCTCTCGCCCTCCGTCCCAGTGTAACCATGGCCAAGAGTATTCGCTCGAAGAGCAAGCGCGCCTTCCGCCGCATCCGCGCCAAGAACATCCACGGCCCGATCGAGCACCAGAGGTTCGTCCCTTGCCCGCCTGCCGCTTCCTCCTCCCTCTCGCTCTCGCGCTCTCCCTCACCGCCTGGACTCGCCTTCGCCGGCTTCTGTCCCGCTTTTTGGTTGTCTCGGCCCCCGCCCACCCTCACACCGCCTGCTCCCTGCCTCTCTCTCTCTCTCCCCGCCCCCCCCCCCCCTGCCCGTGTTCCACGCTCGCACCCTCGGCACAGCCTCATGCGCATTGCCGCCAAGCTCGGCACCGCCGACCCCGCGGACGCCCCCCCCGAGGAGCCCAAGCGCTTCTCTTTCACCGCGCCCAAGGTGCGTCACTTGGCGCCCCTCCCCTGCCGCCGAGCTGCCCTCGGGCCCCTGCCCTCATGCACCCCCCTCTGGTTCTCAACTGACCCCATGCGTCTTCGCCCCTTCACCCCTCTTTCACGCGCGCGCACACACACACACACACACAGAGCCCGAACGACCCGCCCCCTCAGGAGATTGGCGCCAACAAGTTCGAGAACGACAAGCGCCTGGACTCCGAGTTCATCGCCCGCCGCCAGCAGGCCGTCGAGCGTGACCGCGCCGAGTACGAGGAGCGCATTGCCAAGCGCGGCCCCCGCCTCACCCCGGCCAAGCCCTCCACCATCAAGAAGCACCGCGCCAGCAAGTACAAGCGCATGGCCAGTGTCCAGAGCAAGCGCTTCTAAGAACACCCGAGCAAGAGAAGATGGGTCCGAGCAGAGCATGCGCGCGCGGCGCGCCCATGCATCCCCCGCGCACATACACATACATGCACACACACACACACAGTCGCACGCCAGCCGGAGCCGCGACCGGCCGGCCCTCCGTGCGGCAAGCCGACGGAACCTTTCCCCCCCCCCCCTCCCTCATGCGCCCCGGCGCCGCCACGCCACACCGGGCATTGTATTTTTTAGTGTTTCGCCCTCCACATCCTCCGCCCTCTCCCGCCATGCTCCTCCTCTCTTTCCCTGCGCCCCCTTCCCCACTACTCTCCGGCTGGACTGTCCTTGTGCCACATCTTTATGTATCTTTTATACACATACACGAAATCCACCATATGCAGTCACACAGGTGTACCTCCTTCCTGCCATGGCCGCCCTCCGCCCTCCCCCTACCTCCGGCCGCCGGGGGGGTCCCCAAGCGCGAGGGGACTCCCCCGAAGGAGGAGGCCCAGGAGCAAAGGCCACCGGGCTTCCGCCCAGCACAGCACCCCCTCATGTGTGGCCATGCAAGGCTAGAGTGTGTCTATTTCGTTTCGAGCAAAGGGATGGAGGTCAAAAAGCGGGGCCAGACGCGCCGTGCTTGGCCTCCCCTCTCCCCCCGCACGCACGCACGCATGCACGAAGGGAGCACACGGCCAGCAAGCACAAAAATGTCCTGTGGCGGCAACCAGACGGAGCAAAAGAGCCGGCAGGGGAGAAAGACCGGATACATCCGGCCCCCCTCTCACAGGAAGCCGGACACAAAGTCCCCGGCACCGTGCAACTGCGCCAGCCCGGCGGCCGCTCCGGCCCCGGTGGCGAATGGCAAGTGCGGTGGCTGCGACTGGGCCAGGGCCAACGGACGGATGGACGAATCGCCCAGCAGCAGCTCAATCCCCCCGCCGACGGGCGGCCGGGCGGCGCCCGCCGACGTGGCCGACGCCTGGGCCGAGGCCGCCCCGGACCCGGGCACCAGGGTCCCGGCCGCCGCGGCCGACCCCTCGCCGACTCCAGTGCCCGGCGACGGCCCGGCCGGCGACGGCGGCACCGGCACCGAGTCGAGGATGTGAAGGAGGAGCTTGGCCCGGAAGACCGTGGAGAAGCCACTGCCGGGGGCCGCGGCACCGGGCACCACCGTCCCAATGCCGGCTGCCTGGCCGCCGCCGCCCAGGGCAAAGGAGTGCTCGAAGGGATCATCATCAGCAGCAGCAGCAGCAGCGCCAGGCCCACTGCCCGGGCCGGCCAGCGACACGAATGCCTCCCCCTCGCCGGTGCCATTGTAAAGGAGCTCATCAACGGCGGCGCGCACGCGCAGGCGGTCCCGCGCCTCGGCCGCTGCCCGGACATACGCCAACATCGACACGGCGTAGCTTTGCTCCGGCGTCAGGGGGGCCGCCACACCGGTGACCACCGGCAGCCGGTGCGGCCACACATGCAGGTGGTCAAAGCGCCCGAGGTCCCCGGCCGCCGGGCCGGCTGACACCCGCGACCCCGAGCCGCCACCCGGCGACTGAGACGACAACAGCTGGCCAGGCCCCTGGTCCCCGGCCAGGGCAATCCCCTGCCGGGCCAGGGCCAGACGCCGCTCCAGGGTCAGCAGCGTGGCCAGGCGCTGCTCGCGCGCCGTGGCCGACCCCAGTGGCCCCAGACCCAGGGCGATGGCCGCCCGGTCGACGCGCCGGCGAATGCGCGCCTCCAGCCGCAAGTTGGCCGCCGGGTCCAGCGGAGGCACGGCGGCCGCGGCGCCAGCTGACCGCGGCCCGCGCCCGGGGGGACCACGCCCGCGCCCGGTGGCCGGCCCTGCCGCCGCCGCCGCCGCCGCCGCCGCCGCCGATCCCCCGGCCGTCCCGGCCGCCAGCTGCGACGGCGTCAGCCCCAGCTCCGCGATGAAGGCCGACGAAAAGACCGACGACCCATCCTGGAAGGTGGCTCCAATCGGGTCCCGGTACAGGGACAGCACGCTGAGGCCCTCCTCGCTGACGCGCACCCAGGCCCCCAGGCGCCGGGCAAACTCATACTCATGCACCACCACCACGCTGGTGGAGGGGGGCTTGGCCCCGCCGCCGGCCGGCGCGCCGCCCGGCACCGTATGGGCGATGGTCAGGCGCGGCACCCAGCGCGGCAGGGCCTCGGCCGACAGGACCAGGCGCGACTGCAGCAGCCGCGCCGTCGGCCCAGCCCGCGCAGCCGACAGCAGCCCGGCGAAGCTCAATCCATCAGGCGAGGGCTCGGCCCCGTGGACATGCCGGGCCCGGCACTGCTCGGCCGCATCGAACACATGCAGCGCGGTGGTCGTGGTAACCAGCACCAGCCAGCCGGCCACGTGCAGCGACCGAACCGGCTCATTCAGGTAGATGGTCGGCAGGAGCCTGGACCCGGCGCGACCGTGCGGCCGAAGGCCGAGAGGCAAGCCACCGGCGGGGGCGCAGCCCGGAGCAAAACCGCCACAGCAAGGGAGTCAGCATCAGGCGGAGAGAAGCAGGGGGGGGGGGGGGGGATGAGGGGGGAGGGACACGGCGACGGCGCAGAAGCACCAAGCGGTGAGGGAGGGGAGGGCAAGAAAAATGAACACCAAGAAGAAGAAGAAGAAGAAGAAGAGGGCAGATGGCCGCGCCCGCCAGCCAGCCACGTACAGTCGCCCGCTGGCCGTGCTAAACACCTGGACCTGGCCGCAGCCGCCGCTGGCCGTGCCGGCCGTGCCGTCCGGATCGCCCAGCGCCACGGCCGCCACATACCGCGACGCGCTCAGCGCCAGGGCATACGTCGGCAGGAGGGTCTCCCACACCAGGGACACCTGGGTGCCGGGCAATAGCCGGGCAGTCAGCCCCGAGCCGGAGTCGGATGCGGCGGCGGCGGCCGCTGCCGCCGCCGTCCCGGGCCGCGCGCCGGATGCCCCCTTCCGGGCGGCCTTGGAATCCAACGGCCGACCGAGGGACTTGTCATCGGCCGACCGAGCACGCTTCCCGGTGTCCGACACGTCGGCATCACCGGCGAGCAGGCCATCGGCCCCGTCGGCCCCGACACCACCGGTGGCCGAAGCCACCAGACCCAGGGCCTGGTCGGCGCCGGTGCTGCCGCCGCCGCCGCCGCCGCCGCCGCCACTGGCGCCGCCGCTGGCGCTGCTGCCGGTGCCAGCGGCGCCGGCACCGGTGCTCCCGCCGGTCGCCGCGCGATCAATCGACTTCAGCTGCAGCACCGCGCGATAGAGCGACGCAGCCCCGGTCTCGGCCGGGGTCAGAACATTGGTGGCCACCAGGTTCCACCGTTGCGGGCCCTCAAGCCGGGGAAGCGGAGCAAAGCGCATGTCGCCGGCCGGCGGTGGGCCGCCCCCGGCCGAACACGTCTCATTCACCAGCACCCCGACCGAAGCCTGGAGTGGCAGCAGGTGCCCCGGCGGGATGACCGGCACCGCGGTGGCCATCGGGATCGGCTGGCTCACCACCTCCCCCAGATGAACCCCCGAGGCCACCGGCGTGCCGAAGGGAATGTACGGCACGAAGGGCACGCCCCAGGAGGAGGCCCCGGCCGCGGCCGCCGCGGCGCCAGCCTCCCCGCCCATCGGCGAGGCCAGGAGCCCCATGCGCCCGCCGGTGGCCCCCCCGGGGCCCGCGCCACCGAAGGAGGCCGACCCGCCCGGGCCGACCGGCGTCATCGGCGCCCCGGGGGTGCTTGCCCCGCCGCCGGCGGCCCCGCCAGGCGCCGACACCAGGGTCCCGGTGATGCGCTTCCGGCCCTTGCTATCGACGGTGGCCTGCGAGGAGCGCGGCGTCCCCACCAGGGGGCTGCCCCTGGCCGGGGTCAGGTCACTGCCAGCGCGCGCGCTTGGCGTCAGCTGGTGGGGCCCGAGCGAGCTCGGCGGTCGGGACAGCATGGCCGCCGCCGTGGCCCCGGCGTTCGGCCGGGGGAAGGCCTCGGCCGCCGTGGCGGCGGCCACGGCCGCCGGCACCGCCGGCCGGCTGAGCATGTGCTCGAAGGATTCGGCCGGGCCGTCGGACCCGGACAATCCGGCCGGTCGATACCCATACCGAGTCCAGTGGGGGACCTGCCACGGGAGGAGCGTGTGGCAACTGGGCGGTCAGTATCGGGCCGAGGCCGTGGTGCCGGGGTGCTGGCAGAGAAAAGGGGCCACGCTGCCGACGGCCGGGCCATGCGTTTGTCCCCCGCCCCCCCCCCCCTTCAACAGCACACGCACAATGTCCTCCAGCGGGGCAGGCTCGCCGATGCCAGCGTGCGAGAGATCCACCAGGATGACGCCGGCCGCGGAGCACGCCACAAAGAGCGCGCCATCCGACCGCCGCCAGGATAGGTCGGTCAGGGGTCCGTCGATGGAAATGCGGATGGAGGCCGAGCTGGAGTCCGACGCCAGGCGGCAGAGGATCAGCTGGTTCCGGCTGAGGTTGGCCGGCGGCACAGGAGGGGAGACCGGACCCGGGAGGGTGTGTTAGCTGCCGCCGATGGCACGGGCCGGCGGGGGGGAGGGGGGGGGAGGAACAAGGAGGGCAGGAAGAAGCACACGAGACAAGGGAGGACAGAGAGGAGGCGGCTGACGACAGGGCAGCGACACACCTGGACGCCGCGATGATGGACGAGTACTCATACTGCGGGACCATGGAGGTGAGGCCGGCGGCTGGTTCGCCGGTGGCACCGGGCTCCGACGCGGCGCCCTCTGTCGGGGCATCGGCTGGGCCGGCGCGCGGGCCCCCGACGCGAGGCTTCTCCTGGCGATACATGACCGGGGCGCATTTCTGTGCCCGCAGCATGGCCGGCGGGGCGGAGACCCCGGGAGTGGGGGGGAGGGGGGGAGGGAGGGGCGGCGGGGGAGCCGGACAGCAAACACTTGTCAGCCAGCGGCAGTGGCCTGTCGGCGGGCGGGGGAAAGGAGGGGAAAAGGGGCAGGCACACGGCGACGCACCGCGATGGTCACCAGATCCAGGAAACCGTCCAGCCGGAGGAACTTGCCCAGGGGACGCTCACGCGACACCAGCGCCGCGCACAGGCGCTCGCCCTCGTACGCATGCGGCAGGCAGATGATGCCACCATCGAAGGTGACACTGGTGGCGTAGGGCATGCGCACGCAGGGGGGGGGGGGGGGGGGGGCAGAGGTGCATTAGCAGGAGGACGGGGGCGAGGGCGGGTGGACACATGGCAAGCGATGGGGAAGAAGGGCGAGGGGCAGGGAGAGGAGGGAAAGAGAGAGAGAGCGAGAGGGAAAAAAAACCACGCGACCGGGAAACCCACCTCATGGCCAGATCACTGGCATTGGTCGGCGAGTGCTGCAGCGGGGTTTGAATCTCGGCCTTCAGGGTCCAATCACCGGTGGAGTCGGACCCGCTGCCGAAGGGGCCGGCCGCGGTGCCCCGGGCCGAGAGCCCGGTTCCATCATCATGGTCCCCGAGCGAAGGGACCGAGTAGATCTTACACACGCGCAGCTCGCTGATCAGCACGGCCAGGAAGAGCCCGGCCGGGTCCCACGCCAGGGCGCTGATGGGCCGCGACTCGCGGAACACCTTGACACACTCTGTGGCCAGCGGGCCCGGGCAAGGGAGAAGGCCGAGAGGTTAGCTGACATGGGGGGGGGCAGCCTTTCGAAGGGAGCCGGGCCCGGGGGGCTGGGGCTGGCGGCACCACCAGCGCGGGCGGCGCAGCCGGCGAAAGGCAGCGGCAATGGAAGCAACAAAGGAGGAGAGGGGGGACGCACTGAAGCCGGCCGATTGGCGGAATATGCGGACCGTCCGGTCCAAGGACGCTGTGGCCAGGTACTCGCCGCAGCGAGACCACTCCAGGCCGACGACATCGGCCTGGTGGTCTTCAATCCGGTGAACCGGCACCCAGGACTCGACGTCCGGCTCGGCGGAGCCAAATTCCCGGATGGGGGCCACGCTACGCCCGGCGGGTGCACAGGAGCACAAGCGCATGGTCGGAGGCCGGGGAGGGGCTCGGGGGCGTCAGTGGCGGGGGGGGGGGGGGGGGGAGGCGAGGCTTCATCCATACACCGTGACACGCGGGGGCATGTGCACATAGGCGAGGAGACACCGTGGCAAGAGGGGGCAAGGTGCGACACCGGCCGCACGCACGTTGGTGCCCAGATGATGACCGGGTCCGACTCGCCGCCGCTGGCCAGCAAATGGTACGGCCCGGCTTGGATGCCGGCCCGCGAGTAGGACGCCCGGTAGCCGGCGGAGCAGGGAACCGGCTGCCAGCGGACCACCATTACCGGGCTGTTCAGGCGCATGGTCGACAGCAGGGGGCTGCCCTTGCTGCCGGGGGCCGGCGGCGGGACCCCCGGCTGCTGCTGCTGCTCGAGCGTCAGGCGCCGAGCAGCGGGCAGGGACCAAACCCGGATGGTGTTGTCTAGATGCACCCACGCGTGTGGACATCGGGGGGAAGGG